TATGTTAATACTTTCTTTCTTTAAATAAGAAACAATTCAATGTTATTATTTCCTCAGACTACGCTTTATAGTACCTGTGTGGCGGGGGGGCCTAGAACACTGGATACAAATAGAGCTATGTTGGTTTATCATAATATGTACGCAGAAACTTTCCTTTTGTCATATTATCCCTGTAAGATTGTTAATAAAAGCATTGAAATTTACTCAAAGTTGAATTCCTGCCTCATTGCCCATGTTCTGAATGACTCCATCGACCATCACCTGGATGGCAGGGAAGAAAAGCCTGCCTGGTGTCCGGTTAGAACTAGAAGAGATCTCAGTAGCCGCTTCCTGCTCTTCACCCCCTCCTCCCATTGGACATGACTTCCAGCAGGTGATTCAAGGGCTTCGTCTACAGATCTGGCTGAGGGAAGTATTGCCCACACAGTTTATAATAAAACGGCTCCTTCATATGTATTTACCCCACAAGAATCTCTTTGAGAAAACCCCTCCAGCCATTGCAGATAAACCATTCCTCCACATCTCCCATGTTTCCCACTGTGTGGGCCTGAGCCTTGATTGGACCATCTTCCACCAGCAGTTTCCCAATGGTGCTGCTGGGGATGAGTGAAGCTTAGCCCAGATTGTTTTCAACAGAGGACGGGCCTACATTCAATTACATGTTGTTAATTTTTTCCACTCAAGATGTTAAGACCATTGCCCATCCAGCTTCTTCTCAGTAGTTCGACCCCCCTTCCTTTCTCCTCACCTCTGCCTTCTTAGTGTCTGTCTGGTCACTGTGAGGGTATGCCATAACCCCATGGAATGTGCTGGTTCTCTTCTTCCCAAGAGAGTATGGGAGGAAGGAACAATGGAGCTCAGCTAAGTGGACCAGAGTTGTTCTACCACTGCACAGACTTACATTAGAGAAATGAACTAGAACTACATATGTCTGTGTAGATGAAGCTCGTGATTTTAACATTGAACAAAAGTGGGGTGATACGATTTAAATAAGCATAGGAACACACTCACAAAGTACTCCATACTGTTGAGGGTTTGCTCGTACATGTCTGTAGCCCAAATATAAATGAGTTTTAATGTGGTGAGCCCAAGTTCAGGATCCTGGTCTCCTGAGGGAAGGGCACCGAAGGTATGTCAGCTCTAGTTGGCAGGTTGTAGTAAAGTTGATGGTGGCTCACATCGTTTACACAGGATTTTTTCCTACATTTTATATGTTGAAAACATTATGTAAAGGGGGATAAAACAAAAATAACATCAAACTGCTGACTTGGGAAATCATTTATTTACCACGGCAAGGGTTTTGCTCCAAAGATTGACACCAGACATGACTACATTGTCTCATGCATCTTTTTGTGCTTCAGTTCAAGACTGTAAAACACACACACACACACACACACACACACACGGCATTTGACAATAGAAACACAAAGGCAGAAACAAATCACAAGGACTAATTTTCTGTTTTGATGGTGAGGTTTAGACGACAGTTCCCTTCCACCCAGGACTCTTTCACACTGGAAAGGAACTAACCCTGAAGAAGGGACTGACCTCCTTGCTTGCTCTCTGCCTAGTTCTGATTTGATGATTTGTCATTGAACCCACATGAAGTCATCTTGGATTGGAACGGACAGCTGCATGCAAGGTCTTGATGGACAGGCACTCAACAAGTATATCTTGATCAATACAAGGGGGGGGGTCACAGATGAATGAGAGTGGTTTTTAATGTCTCAGCACTGTGGCTGTCTCTCTTCTTCCAAAAATGCTCCCTGCACACACGCACACACACACACACACACACACGCACGCACATGGTGTGCCTTTCAAATAAGATCAGATGTGTTTGCACAGACTCAATTCCTTTCATTTGGCAGTAAATCACAAACATGTCTGGGATGAAGTAAGGGAATGCAAAGATTACTGGAAGTCTGACATCTCTGGGTTAATTTTAAATGTGTCCAAATGAAGTTTGGGTGGGAAAGTATCATAATTAGTCTTCTTCTGCTCATTACATGTAAATGAGGAGCAGGAGTGAATAGAGATATTGTAATGAGTTCCCAGGCAACTTGTGAAGGTGCCTGAGATAATTCACCAAGATTCACGATTAAGCCATTTACAATGTCCTTGCTTGGCTTTTCCCCCCACCCCCCAACCCCTTCCATGCCCCCCAAATCTATTCTTCACCTTTAATTCATCTGGGCCCTAATGAGACAACTTTATCCTAGGCACTTGGAATACACAAGGGAATATGCAGACCAAGCCCTGTCTTCTCTCTGCACATCTGCTAGCTGAGGTGGTGGAGCACACCCAAGTTAGCCCATGGTGAAATATGGCACCAACCAGGCTATGATGTGTCCACACAATGGAATATTTGACAGCAGTGAAGGAGAATGAACTAGCACTACATATGTCTGCAACGTAGATTCTAGAAAACAATGGAGCTTTTGAGAGCTAAAGAAATGAAAGGAATGAGCATGAGTACTCTGGAATCAGGACTCCTTCCCAGCCCACCTCAAAAGTCCTTTGGTGGGATTATAAGATGGACTGAGTGCAGGTTTATAGGCCCAGGTTTCTTGATCTTTTTTAAAGTCAAGAACCCATATGTTCCTAGATTAGAATCACAGATGTTTCCAGGAAGAGAGCTGCTGGCTAGCTTTCAGCTTCCCTGGGGAATATTTAATCCTCTTGTTGCTATATCAACCAAAAAGAAAGGGCCAAGGTAGAGAGAGCAACCTTATAAACATGATGTTGGGGACCATGGACAAATATTCCCCCCCCCAAAAAAAAACTTAGCAAGGACTGGAAAATTATAATGACCAAAGTTCCCAACGATCTGTAATGTTTGTCCATGGAAGAGCTCTATACTCTCTGTCTCTTCAGAGAATGTGTTTCTCTGTGCAGAAAAGCCAAGTCATGAACCAAAAGTTACAAAGTCCTGCTCAGCTTGTCAGGGAGAGGCCCAGAGGGACACAACTCACGGAAAGGACAACATCTTAGCCATCTCCTCTAGAAATTCTCACTTAGATCAGGGAACTAGGGTACCACTGAAGACCCAGAGTTTGGATGTAGACATAGAGGAGTTCCATACTGCAAAATCGATGGGTCTGGAAAGAGCTGGATAATTCGGGAACTTTCTAGCTTTCTAGCCACAGGTTGAAAGTCAAAGACTTTAACCTAAAGAAGCTCTGCTGGAACCTTGGAGCATCTTCCCAGCCAAGGAACACCTGCCAGCATGGAAACAATTCCATCTGTCATGGCATCCACACAGGCTGGCCCCCATGACACAGGTCTTAGTTAACAGAGGGCAGGGCTTCGGGTTCACAGGCAGGGACTATTATATCCACGTATCCAGGTTCATCATTTAGATTTAAGTAACAATGGGGACATTGTTACAATGGGGAACGACACGGTGGACAGTTATCATGAATTGAAATCCCCAAACTGGCAGAGGAAGACATTTCACTTCTTTGAAGTACCCATTGTCACTTTTGTGAAGCGGATGCCACAGACCAAGTTCATCATGCACTTCTTCCCGAGAGGTTGGGATGCTGAGCGGGAAGGGTCTGTCACTCAGGTTGCCATGGTGATGCTGGGGAACAGGACAGCACACACTCAGAATCCAGCCCAGCTGTGCCTTGTTAGGGAAGGCCTTCCCAAATAGAACACAAACCAATTTTAAGATGTAATAATAAAATCCTTCCATAAAAAACACACAATGCAGTCCAAAAGCAGGATCTGAAAGGCACAAATTAAAACCTAAGACTTAAAATAATTAATAATAATAAAAAAAAGAAGACTCCTGACTTTCACGCTGGTGGTTGAGGTATCCAGCATTGGAACTGGCCAATACTAGTATCGAGGTCTCCTTGGGTGTCTGCAAACCGGTGGTGGTATGTTGTAGAAGGGTCTCTCCAAGAGTAGCCCTCCCTGCACTGCATGGAAGCCCCCGTGTGCTTGTTGAAAGTGGAGCACTGGTCTAGGATGTCCACAGTGGCCCTGAAACCTGCTGGTAACTCTTCCTACTGAAGTCTGAGGTCTGCTGAACTGCTGTGTAGAGTGGCAGCTGGGATAAAGGCTGGCTAGTTTTCTCATGCCCATCTCTCATTCTCATTCTGTAAGTCGATCCACAATCATTTCATTTCCTTCACCATGGAGTGTATTGTGTGTATGTGTGTCCTGGGGCTTGAACTCAGGGCCTGGTAATATCCTCAGCTTTCTTATTCAAGATCAGCACTCTACCACTTGAGCCATAGCTTTAATTCCAGATATTTGCTGGTTAATTGGAGTCTTTTTTTTTTTTTAATTTTTTTGGGTCCGGTAGTGGGGCCTGAACTCTGGGCCTGGGCGCTGTCCCTCAGCTCTTCAGCTCAAGGCTAGCGCTCTACCACATGAGCCACAGCGCCACCTCCAGCTTTTTTTCTTTCTTTCTTTTTTTTTTTTTTGCTTATGTGGTGCTGAGGAATCGAACCCAGGGCCTTAGGCATGCAAGGCAAGCACTCTACCACTGAGCCATCTTCCCAGCCCCTTAATTGGAGTCTTACAACCTTTCCTGCCCAGGCTGGTTTTGAACTGGGATTTTCAGGTCTCAGACTCCTGAGTAGCTAGGGTTATAGATGTGAGCCACCATTGCCCAGCTCTTTTACCACTTTTGAAATGCTTATTTAGAAAAAAAAAATTCTTTGCATCTGTGTTTCTCAAATGGCGCTTTGTCTGCATCTGGCCTCAGCTCACCTGCAAAACCCACACAGGAGTATATCTGGGAAGAGTCTCTTCCCGTAAAACACAACTGAGAGAAATATAGGCTTCAATATGACCCAAATGTCCCATTTCCACACTCTGCCCTGCTGGCTTTGCTCATCTGTTAGAATCAGGAACATGCTGAGAAAGGAATAGGATCCTGATGTTGGCCAGTACATCCGTCTGTGTTCTGAATGCTGGAATGAGGATGGGACACAAGCAGGAGATTACAGAGGGCAGCTGGGGTGGAGGATGGGTTGTGCTTGAGAAGGGAGGTTGGCAGTGGCTGGCTTACAGGTGCAGCTGGTGCCACATGGCAATCTGCCGGCGTGGGTTTTTTAGCATCTCTTCCCAGTGGCTGCGCTCAGAACCTGAGGCGTGCAGGCCCAGGCTGCAGTGGCCAAGTGCCCAGCTCCGCCCCTCCTCGTCCTGACCCAGCACCTCCAACTCCACACTGGAGGCCCGCAACAAGTCGTCGGGCAGCTCAAACATAATCATCTCGTTCCAAACGGGGTTGATCTTGTGTTTGGCCCGTTTTGTCTGCTTCTTCTTCAGCTTCTGAGCCTGGTGCTTCAAGGTCACCTTGACTGAGACATCTGAAGATGAATTAAGAAGAAAGAGAGAGAAAGATCAAATGAGAATAGTGATACTTCTTGGGGCTCCCTTTCAACTCGACCACTGGGCAAGGCGTTCACCTGATAATTAAGAACCTACTGAATAGCAGGCATTTTTCTAAAGGGGGACCAAGACAACACTCCTGCCTCAACTGTGGAAAATGGACAATATAGACTAAGTAGCCCTCACCTGAAATGCTTGGAGCATGTGGGTGGTGTTCAGACTTGGGAATATTCGCATATGCATAATGAGATATGTTTGTGTACTACAAACATAAATTTCATTTAAGCTTCATATATATATATGTCTGTATACATATATATATCTATATATATAGTTATATATATATATATAAAACAAACAGCTTGAATGTTTTTTTTTTTTTTTTTGCCAGTCCTAGGGCTTGAACTCAGGACCTGGACACTGTCCCAGAGCTTCTTTTTGCTCAAGGCTAGTATTCTACCACTTGAGCCAGCATGCCACTTCTGGATTTTCTGAGTAGTTTATTGGAGATAAGAGTCTCACAGACTTTCCTGCTCAGGGTGGCTTTGAATCATTGTCCTTAGATCCCTCTTGAATAGTTAGGATTACAGGTATAATTACTGGTGCCCACTTGAATATAATTTTTTTTTGTAGATAAAAAATGAGCTTTATTTCAGCTGCTCAGTGAAAACATGTTGACAACACAGAGGCAAGTGACTATTTTATAGTATTTAGAAATAGAAGAAGCTGGTGTTGGATAAAAAATACTTACAAGGGCTTAGTATAATTTTGAAGACATCATAAACAAATTTGAGTACATTTCCAAAAATTTTAGGGCAAGACTGCTTTGCTGCTGTGATTACTTTGTGGGAATTTCTCAGATTTCTTCTTTTTTAAAAATTTATTTTATTTTATTTGTGAACATACTGTACAGAGGGGTTACAATTACATGGACAGGATAATGCGTACATTTCTTACCAAGCATTGCAGCCTCCTCCTTCGTTTATCCTTCACATCCCTTCCCAGCCTCCCCCCTCCCCCCCAGTCCCAATCCTTCCCCCCCCACCAACATTGTAAAGCTCATTTTCGACCTGACAACTTGTACTTCTCATTGTTGCAACAGGTCCACCTGTATCCTTAAACGACTTGTTTTTCCCCATCTCCTCCACAAGTTATACTGACATCAAATATAGTGAAAGCAGGGGTTATACTGTGTTGAATATAATTTTATTCTGTAATGTTTAGTATTCTTGTGCATGATGCTAAAATGCGGGTATGAAATTTTCCCCTTGTGTTCAGAAAGCTTCAGATTTGGGAAAATTCTGGATTCTATTTTTATTTTCTGGTGCCAGTACTGTGGCTTAAACTCATGGCCTCAAGGTCTTGCTTAGCTTTTCTTGTTTCAAGCTGAAGATCTCCCATTTGAGCTATACCTCCACTTCTGGATTTTTTTTGTTGGCTAATTGGAGTAAGAGTCTTGGATTTATCCACCCAGGCTGGACTTGAATTGGGATTCTTAGATCTCAGCTTTCTGAGTAGTTAGTTTTATGAGACACCAGTGCCTGACTAGCATTTTTGGTTCAGGATGCTCAACTATGGATGGCCCATTCTGGGCATATTTCTGGCATATTTCTATGCCACCAGGAAATCAGGGCCATGAACCCTTCCATAGGTCATTTCCTCAGAGCAATGGCTTCGATGCCCTGAAGATTGGTTTTTAAACTTGGATCAGAAAAAAGTTAGCCTTATGTCCTGTTAATTACTGACAGAGAAGGTCTCCTGCTGGCTGGCTGAGCCTTCTTACACTCTGTTAAGTTTTGCTGGAGTTGCTTAACTTCAAGACACATTGCCTTGTCCCCTAGCACCTGGGTCCTGCAGTGGTGGCCCTGATTACACATGGTGTCCCCTCCCAGAAACCCACAAACGGGTCACCAGATGAGCTCTCAGAGCTCAGATTCAGGACATTGCTTTTTCATTAGTCAAGGTTCTTGAAGTTAATGTGAGAATAATTGTTACGTGATATTTATTACTATAATTATCACCTCTGGGTGGTTAGTTTGTTATTTCAGTGGGACAGTTGAGAGATAGAGAGTTGTGTTGTAATTGTCCTGATGTGAGCTATAAAGAAAAAGGAAGACCTCAGAGAACCAGTCCTGAGGGAACAGGGAGAAAGCATTGAACTCCGACCTTTGGCTCAGAAATCCACCTGCCAGCTCAACTCTTCCAATTTTATTTGCCCCAAATATTTTGCTCAAAGATTCTGAATATAATAGTGATTCTTTGTATTCTGCTATAAATAAAAGTGTATTTATAGGTTGCTCTGAGAACTTGGCTCTCAGCCTGGGTGGGATCCTGCTCATCCAGACTCCTTTCATGCTTGGACAGGAAATGGTGCTTCAAACCCCAAGGTGTGGGACCTGTGCCAGGCTATCCAGAAGGAAAAACTGGAGCTTCCAGAACCTTGAAAAGAGGTGGGCAGAGACACCTCAGCCCTGATTCCCACACATTCTCTGCTGCCCCCCACACTCAACAGGCATTGGGCTGGCAGATGGCCAAGGCAGAGAGGACAGAAGACACAGGAAAGGGTTCAGTAATGGCCAGCAGAGGGTGTCACGAACAAAAGAACCTGGGTGAACACCCCACATTGGCACCAGCCCGGGCGTATGTGCAACCAGCTCTAGATTGTCCTGGATCCAGAAGATTCCACTCCATGACTATACAGTCTTGCCCTTGCATCTTGCAATGCAGTAGTGTTCTCATGGTGGATTTGCCAAGCAAGGAACCCCAGAGTCACCTGCAGGCCCCTTGTGGCTGGAATGGGTTCAGGAATGAATGGGTGTGAACCCAAAAGAGTACGTATACCCTTTCCAACCAGGGGAAGAATATTGATGAGGAAAGATCCAGCCACATCACTGTCCTGGTGCTAGAGAGGCCTAGCTCTCTCCTCTGCCCCTCACTTACCCTTGCCCAGCAGCTCCTTGGACTGGTTGGAGAGGAGGTTCTTGGCTTTAATCAGTACCACCAGGAGGCGGCTGGCAGCGGGGAGGTAGCTGATAGACAGGAGGACCTCCCCCGTTCCTGTGGACGGCTCCTGAAACACAAGGAGGACTCAGGAAGGGAGCAGTGCCAGCAGTGGCTTCTGACCCATCAGCCCGCAAACTGCCCACCTAAGGGTGCTCTGCATTTTCTCAGAAGGCAGCAGAACACCCAAAGCAGGGTGACGTGCTACCTGGGCACTGTCCCTGAGCTGCTTTTTGCTCAAGGCTAGCACTCTACCACTGGAGTCACAGTGCCACTTCCAGCTTTTTCTGTATATGTGGTACTGAGTAATTGAACCCTGGGCTTCATGCATGCTAGGCAAGCACTCTCCCACTAAGCCAAATCCCTAGTCCTACCATCATGTATTTAAATCCCACGTAAAAACACACTGAGCACTGGTGGCTCACACCTGGAATTCTTGCTACTCAGGAGGCTGAGATCTGAGAATTGTGGTTCAAAGCCAGCTCAGGCAGGAAAGTCTGTAAAACTCTTATCTCCAATTAACTACCAAAAAGCCACAAATGGAGCTGTGGCTCAAGTGGTAGAACAAGCTCAGGGATAGCACCCAAGCCCTGAGTTCAAGCCCTAAAAGCAGCACAAACCAACAAACAAAAAGCAATGAGTGGTCACTCAGCAGAGGGACAGAGACATCTAGGAGACCCCTTAACCCTTACTCCTTGCCGCCTGGCATCTGAGGTGCCTCTGGAAGTCTAGGGCTCTGGAGAAGATAGGTTGAGAATAACTGATTGACATCTGGCTCCTGGGGGGGGCAGGGCAGGAGCAGGAGGTGTGATTCATTTCTTTATTTGAAGAGATGGCCCTGGCCAGCTGTTGCTGGCTGAGAGAGTCAATAAAGTGACATGATCAAATGGGCAGGGGTTTGCTTTGTCAACAGAGAGGCCAGAAATGTCAACATAGTGCTGCGGACCCATGATGGCAGATGATGCACTTAGGTCCCTGGAGAAAACCAAGTATCAATAACCCCATGCAGCAGAGGAGGCTGACAGCTCCAGGAAGCATCTGAGCACGTACGCACACGAGCGCATGTACACACACACACACACACACACACACAAACACACACACACACACACAAAATTTAAAGTGTACCCATGAACTCCTACAAGAGTTCCTTTGAAAGTTCAAGTCCTTGAAAGACAAAACATTTAAAAAAAGGTCCCTTCCAGGACAGAGAAGGAGTCAGCCCATGGTGGAGCTCTTCCTCTGACTGGAGAGCAGATGGCCTTCCCTCAAAGGCGGCGGTGCAGCCTGGCCCCCTCCTTCTAGCTCTGACTTCCTCATTGTACACTGATGATAATTTGGGGAGTCCTCTTCCATCCTGTACTCCTGGTGTAGTTGAGGCCCCTGGACAATAGCACAGAGCACCCCAAGCCTCCTTCTAGTACCACTAGGTGATGCTTTTGAGCTCAGGGGGGTTGCAATAGGTTTTCCTGTGTACCCTACACTGGGCCCCCAGCACAGGACTCAATCCCCAGTGCAGGGCCCAGCCCCAGCCCAAGACTGGAGCCCGCAGCCCAGGGCCAAACCCCCAGTGCAAGACTCAATCCCCAGCCCAGGGCCCAGCTCCCAGCAGATTCACAGAACCTCTGTGCTTAAAAGAAACTAGACAGTGGGGTAGAGCCCAGCACCATGCGACACATAACACTGCCCTTCCCTTTTCCAAATGTCCTTTATCAGGAGGAAGGGGATTTGTCCAGTCAACAAACATGCTTAAAGGACATATTTTGTGTTCCAGATGCTTCTATAATAGCAGAGAGGAAAATACAGTCTGCCTCCAGGAAACTTGCAATCCATGAGAGAGACAGACTGGAAGTGATACATCAATGTCGGCTAATGGAAAAACAGAATTGATTCATTTAGTAAGTCCTCATTAACGGTGATAAATTATAATTCAAATGATGATTCACAAGACCACAATTTTTATTATCAATAATCCAGAGCAAGGTGACATAATGTTGAGGGAGGGCACAGACTGAGAAGTTTGGTCCTATCCTTTACAGCTGTGTGACCTTGGGCAAGTTCCTAGACATTTCTGCTTCCTCATCTATAAAATGGGCATAGATGAGCTCCCCTTATGGAGTTATGAAAACTTAAGGAGTTCATACTCCTAAAAAGAGTAAGTGCCACTTGTAATCCTAGCTACTCAGGAGGCTGAGATCTGAGGATTGTGATTCCAAGCCAGTCCAGGAAGAACAGTCCAGGAGACTCTTGTCTTCAATCAACCAACAACAACAACAAAAAGAGAAGTGGAGGTATGGCTTAAGAGGGACAGTGCCAACCTTGAGCAAAAAAGCCAAGCAAGATCATGAGGTCCTGAGTTCAAATTCTAGTACCAGTACAAAACAACAACAACAAAAGGAAACCCCAGTCCCAGATCCAGTGTGCTCTGCTCCTAGTAAACAGTCTGCCCATACTCTCATTTCACAAGGAAGTCATGGAACCTGAGGACTAGTGCCAGGCTCCCAGCAGGGTGGTAGAGCTGGGATGGACACCTACTTACCATTTATCAGTAGTGGGTCTATGGCTGGCCTTGGCTGTGGCCCTACAGTGATTAGGCTTGAGGCCTCTACTCCCTCCCCCTCCAGACTAAGAGGAGCCTACACCTGTCTACCCCAAGGGACTTCTCGTGGCTGTGCAGGGTGAGCACCTGGGCCAGCCCTGCTGGCTACAGCATCGATAGCAGATAATGCAGCTGCTTAAAATACCTGCCAACAAAAATAACCCTTTCTTCCTCCTTCTTCTCCTGGGCAGTCCTCCTCCCTTTTCTATGCCTCTCAGTGAATCATTCAAGGCCTCCCTGGAAGTGGGGCGTACTGTGGTCCCTGATGACGCACATGCCACTTTGGGCTGAATGTCTTCCATCTAGAACAAGGGCACTGCGGCGTCTCTGTTAACTCACTGTAGCCTGGGGAAGAAACACCTCAGGGTGCAGCATCTGCAGTCACCCTGCCCTCCTCCCCCCAGTGCCAATCAGGCCCTCCCTCCACCCAGGTGGGGCACCCTGGCCGGGCCTGGGGCTCCCTCCTGCCTGACACACCATTTGGGGAGGTGGATGTGACTGGGTATTTTTGGAGCAGTGACGGCTGCAAGGAGAATGAGGAGTCATGAGGAGGGATGAGCTGCAGAGGGCAGGGCTCCAGGTAGAGATGCAGGGCTCCAGGTACAGACGGCTCCGTTGCCAGATCCTGGCATGGTGCCCAGTGCACTGCAGGAGCTAGCTGAGGGATTTGTGGGAAATGCACACTAAGGCTTTCCTGGGGGAATAGAAGGGATCTAGAAGTCATCAAGGTAGCTGAGACTGCTGCCTAGACTGAATGAGAACCCTGCTGGGGCCATCCAAAGCCTCAAACCCCACAGGGAAACCTCTGTTCCTTCAAAGCCAGTGTACTATTATAGGAAACCCAAGTCGTAGTTTTCCTCCCAATCCCTCCCCCGCATGCCCTCCCCACCCCCACACAAATTCCCCACCCATTGAAGAGCATGTTTGAGCTATCTAGCAACTTTCTAAGACTGAGAAAGAAACATGGGACAAGGAATGATGGCACAAAGTGGGCCAGATGTAGCCAGGTACCATGGCTCAAGCTTGTAATCCTAGCTTCTTGGGAGGCTGAGATGGGCTGGCAGCCCCACCCCCATCACCATGTGGCTCATTGGGAGAATGGGAAAAAAAGTCAGGCAAAGTCCTGAGAGTAACCACCGAGGTACAGGGCGTCTCAGAAACACCACCTGATGGCTGGGTTGATGACTGCAGCCCAGGACACAGAAAATACCCCCTGTGAAGGCTCTGACAGGAAATCTCAAGCCCATCCCTAGACACAGCACTGCCCCTTGCTGCCCTGGCCAGTGGAGCGGGGAGGCCAGGGTTTGCTCTCAGGAGACCCTTTCTCAACAGGGTGGTGTCACAGCAGAATCTGCCACTCATGACCTCCAGGGCAGGGGAAATCATCCAGGAGTGCTTGCCTAGACCACCCAGCTCTGGTCTGCGGGGCCCCCCCTTCCCCCCCTACCCCCCGCCTCCAGGTGGCTCCATCAGAGCCTAGTATACACACTATTCACACACACACACACACCTCAGGCCTTCTAGAATTCTCCATCACAGCCTTTTAGACACAGCACCTCTTAGATATGTCAAGGCAGGTTAGTTTGTCGTGATCACTGTGAGCTGCATCAGCTCATCCCTTGGTCTGGAAATTCTACAAACAGAGGGACTCTACCCTCCTCCCTTCTTTCCTCCCTCCCTCTGCACTCATCCCTGCAGGGCCTATGCAGAGCAGGGAGACAAGGACAGTCCTGGAGCACACACCACGTTACTGCCCATGATGGCAGGGACATCCGCAGAGCAAGCAGGAGGACCCCCTGGGAGCAGGTGCTAGGAACCCTGAGTTTGGGGCCTTGGCTCAGCTCCAGGATGGCCTGTTCAGGACCCCATGCTGCCTCTCTGCCCAGCCTGGAGATCTCCCCTCCTGTACTCCACTAGCAGGCTTCAGCCTTCCAGCCGCAAGGCGAACTTACCTTAGCGGAAGTCTTCAGCTGGCCCCACTGCGTGGTCCCCAGAGGCACGGATACCCCATCCAGGCCCAGGCGGAGCTCCCCAGCCACACTGTGGCGGGAGAAGCGGTCGCAGGTCCTCAGGGTAAGCGTCAGGATGGCCGTGGGGAGCTCCTCCTCCGCCAGGGGCAGCGCCAAGCCCTCCTCCCAGGTCGTGTGCAGCTGCCGCTTCTTCAGGGCTGTCTGGGCCTCCACGGAGCCGGTCTTGATGGCCACACTGCCTTGGACATAGCAGTCGCAGCCTCCTTCGTGGTCACTGGTCACAGCTGCAGGCCAGAAGATAAGGGAACTCAGATGAACTACATCCTGGATCAGAGCTGTAGAATCCACCTTAATGGTAACAGCCTTCAAGTATCGACAGATCCCAGGGATAACTAACTACCTTGGATCTCAGGAGTGGACTTGTAACAAGACATTTAGAAATGGGAAATGAGTCAGGTGCAGGTGGGTCACACCTGTAATCCCAGCTACTTGAGAGGCTCAAATATGAAGGATGGCAGTTTGAGGCCAGCCTAGGTTAAAAAACAAACAAAAAAGCCTGCAAGACTCCATCTCTAATTAATCAGCATAAAGCTGTACTAGAGACATAGCTAAAGTGACACAGCACCAGCCAAATGAGAGTGGAAGGCTCTGAGTTCAAACTTCAAGACTGTCCCCGCCCCAGAAAAAAAAGGAAGAAAGGAAAGGAGGGAGGAGAGATCACCATCAGTACACTTCATCTTCTATCTTCCTTGGAGAACTATGATAAGAATCACTGCTTCCTGGGGCCCCTCTGACCAGAAGACTCTGCAATTTCCCCAAGCCCCCAGGGCCCTGGTTTGACTACTGTCATTAGGGCCACTGGGGACACTGTGATCTATAGGTTCCGTCCTTTGCATATTTACCACACAGCCACTTACAGTGTGAATCACTTGGATGGTGGTGGTTGTGGGGCTTGAACTTGGGGCCTGGGTGCTGTCCCTGAGCTCTTTTGCTCCAGGCTAGCTCTCTATCACTTTGAGACACAGCTCCACTTCTAATTTTCTGTTGGTTAATTGGAGATAAAAGAATCACAAACTTTCCTGCCTGGGCTGGCTTTGAACCTTCATCCTTAGATCTCAGCTTCTTAAGTATTTAGGATGTCATGCATGAGCCATCAGAACTCAGTTAGGCTTCACCTCTTAAAGCCCACTCCCGCCCCGCCCCCCATATTGCCACAGCAGGGAGCAAGGCTTTACTCCATGTACTTTTACGGGAACATTGAGGGGCCAAGCTATAGCTTCTGGGTAAGTCACGTGGCAGATACGTCACAGTGTGATCTACCCAGGCACCCTCCTCCCCTTACTGAGGAGCTTGGGTGATTGGCACCTCAGTGGAAAATGTGGCAAGTGGGAGCTGACATTTCACCGGAAGTGCAGGGGAAGAACTGACACCAGGCTCCTGACAGAGCTTCCTACTGCTGGGTCGGAATCATCCTGGACAAGTCATACAAAGGCGTTGTTACCCCTCAGTTTGCTAGTCTGTAAAATGGAACTTTGATGAAGACCAAGTGTGATAAATCATATGAAAGAGCTTAAAAGTCTTAAAAGAGACTGTGATAGACAATCTGCTCCAGGAAAGTTAGAATGAACTTGTGACTTTAAATGAGCATCATTATTCCACAATACTGTGAAATTTGGGAAATTATGTAATCACTTAATCACAATTTAAAAAAAAAGAACCTTGGGGAAAGTAGGGAGGGAAGGGATGGTAGGGGGAAAACAATGGAGGGGGTAACAATGTTCAATAGGAAGTGTACTCATTACCTTGCTCATGTAACTGTAACCCTCTGTATAGTATCTTTACAATAAAAAAGTCTTAAAAGACAATAAAATGGAAGAAGAAAAAAGAAAGAAAGAGAGAGAGAAAGAAAGAAAGAAAGAGAGAAAGAAGGAAAGGAAGGAAGGAAGGAAGGAAGAAGGGAGGGAGGGAGGGAGGAAGGAAGGAAGGAAGGAAGGAAGGAAGGAAGGAAGGAAGGAAGGAAGGAAGGAAGGAAGGAAGGAAGGAAGGAAGGAAACCAGAGCCTGAAGGTATAGCTTAGTGGCAAAGCACATGTTTAGAATGTGTAAGGCCCTAGATTCCAACTCCAGTGCCAAAGATAAAACTGTGAGGAACTGGATCACAAATGCCCACGGAGGCTCTGGATGTGAGGTCACTGGGATGTAGTCTTGATTTCTCTTTTTAAGTTAATTTCCTCAGGCATTTGGTCCCAGTGACAGAAAGCTAATACAGAAACAAAAGGAAATTAACCACAGAAATCAAACATCTGGTGCCACAGCCAGCTTTGATTGTTGATGGTAAAGTGAATTGTCAGGGGTAGCAATACTAAGAACATCCTGGCCCCTCAGAAAGATGGACCGGTTCTGACTTTCCAAAGACCCTCTTGTCCAGCATGAAGCCCTGTCTGATTCAAAGGCCCCTATGACAGAGATTGCTTTTGTTTACCAAAAGCTCATATCCCTTCTTCCTGGGCAGCTCCATAGGCCCACACTTCCCAAGCTCCTTTACAGAGAGGTGTGACCATGCAACTGGGCTCTGGCCAATGGGATGTGAGCAAAAGTGACTTATGCCATATCCAGTTTAGACTAATTGGGAGCAGCTGTGCCCTCTGGTGCTCCCATTCCTCCATCCACTTGTGAGTAGAGTTAACAGGAGGCTGAGGTACAGGGTAGGTGGAAGGAGCCTGCTCCTCAAATCACCATTTGGATGAGAGATGTCTACCAATCAAGAAACCCCATTTTTTCTGGAAGCCAGTGGTTCATACCTATCGTCCTAGCTACTCACGTGGCTGAAATCTAGGGATCACAGTTCAAAGCCAGCATGGGTAGTTAAGTCTATGAGACTTATCTCCAGTTAGTCACTAAAAAGCCAGAAGTAGAGCTGTGGCTCAAGTGGTAAAGGGGTAGCCTGGAGTGAAAGAGCCAAGGGACAACACCTAGCTTCTGAGTTCAAGCTCCAGTACCGGCTTTAAAAAAAAAAAAGAGTAAGAATCCCAGGCTGGAAGGTGGCTCAGTGGTAGAGTGCTTGCCTTGCATACATGAGGCCCTGAGTTCGATTCCTCAGCACCACATAAGCAGAAAAAGTCGGAAGTGGCGCTCTGGCTCAAGTGGTAGAACGCTATCCTTGAGCTGAAGAGCTGAGGGACAGCGCCCAGGCCCAGAGTTCAGGCCTCATGACTGACAAAAAAAAAAAAAAGGTAAGAATCCCCATTTTACATGGTTAGGGAGAAAAACTATTTCCGTGTTGGAGCAGCCTGTGTTGAGGATATTTCCTGGAGTGTTAACCATGCTCCTCCGGCTGTAGACCCTCTCATCTGCCTAAAAACCAACAGCAAAGCAGTACCTTCCAGGCGAGTCACGAACAGCTCAGCCTTCTGCTGGTCGTAGTCTAAGCAGTAGTGGAGTTTGGGGGCCTGGTTCCAGCTGGCAGCCTTCTCCGGGTTCCACGTCTCCATGACACAGACATCCTCCACCACTCCTGTAAGATAGTCAGGGCTCGCCAATGAGTCCCTTGTCACACAGCAGCCACCTAAGCCACAAACCCAAGCAGCCCCGGGCAGCAGCCACACCAGGGCAAGCAGCAGTCACAGGGGGCTTTAGCTCAAAGGACATCAGCACCCAGTAGTCAAGATGTGGGCAGACATGAGAAGCTACATAGTACCAGTGTGGTCTTGCACTTCTCTGAACCTCACTTTCCTCAGCTGTATAATGAAGAGGTTAAGAGCTCCTCTTTTCTATAGTCATTGAAAGCATGAAATGAATAAAGGCAGGGGAAGTTCCTAGCCCAGAGCTTGGCTTATGGTGAGTGTTCCCAGTAAGGGAAGCTGTCCCAGTCTGTGTAGCCCTGGTGATCATGGTTGTCCCCAGCTGATACCCAGTGCCACCTCCTCCTGTTCCCCAGGGTAAACAGCTGGGAAGAGACCTTCAAGAGCAAAAGGGTCAGGGTAAAAGTGTGTGTGTGTGTGTGTGTGTGTGCACGTGCACGTGCACGTGTGCATGCCCATGCACACACGCCAAAACTAAGACTTAAACTCAGGGCCTGGTACTATTTCTGCACTGTTGTGCTCAAGGTTGGAGTTCTACCACTTAAGCCATACCTCCTCTTGGAGTCTCATGGACTTTTCTGCCCAGGCTGTCTTTGAATTGCAGTCTTCAGATCTCAGCCTCCTGAGTAGCTAGGAGTACAGGTGTACTCCTCCACCAGTGCCTGGCTGGTAAGCGTGCTTTTGCTTTAATATATATTCAACACTTACTGAGTGACTAGATGATCTTATCTTTAATTTGGAAGTCCCTAAAACCATCCGTGTTACTCGTTTTGCCCATCTCCTGAACAGGATCCCAAGATTCTCAGGTATCAAACATAATGAAACAATTAAAGGCTACAGTAGCAGCCAGGCACCAGCGGTTCACACCTGTCATCCTACGTACTCAGGAGGCTGGGATCTAAGGATAGCTGTTTGAAGCCAGCCCAGGCAGAAAAGTCCCTATGAAACTCTTATCTCCAATTATCCACTCAAAAACTGGAAGTGGCACTGTGGCTCAAGTGGTAGAACTTTAGCCTTGAACACATAGAGGCTCAGGGACAGCGCCAAGGCCCTGAGTTCAAGTCCTACAACCGACAAGAAAAAAAGGCTACAGGAGCTACAGTTACAGCAGATGCCACTTGAGGCAAACTAGAATTAGACTCTGGTTCTCAGAACAAATTCAGAGGGTACAAATATAGAGGACAATTAATCCCCGCAAAAGGGCTTATTATGGGATTCCTGCAAGTAGTCAAATTGTCCCTGAGGCATCTAACAAAGGAACAGATCAGCCAGGATGTTCCAGTGTATGGAGATGCACCTGTGCCCAGGACCTCCTTGTCTTCCATCTTTCAGACATCCAGAATACCACCAGTGTTAGGAGGGCCTTAGTGGTACCCTAGCTCTCGGCTCTCAGGCTGCCATTAGTCTGCACTGTCAGAACCTCTCCTCTTCTCCTCTTGGATCTCTTATAGTAGTTGGGGTTCGGGTCAGCATCTGCAAGTGGACTCTGCCATTTACTGTCTATCTCATCAGGGAGAAGCCAGGGGCTGGCACCACTCACAAAAGATTTCCATGATCAAAACTAAGCTGTTGTCTTCTAAGGCATTCTTCAAAGGCCAGATGCTGCTCAGCTCCCCATGTTCCTTTGATTCTCTCCAAGCCTTAAGCCTCCTTGGGCTCCTGGGAGAAGGGGTCCTGAGTGATCAGTGACCTCTAGGGTCCTCGTGTGAGCCAGTCCTCCCCGCAGCTTTCCAGTCTTCAGTGGGTCCATTTAAGCCTATTTAGAATGGGCTGCAGTATGCATGCCTTTCATCTAACCACCCAGGTGTCTGAGATCTAGAGGACTGAGGTTTAAAGCTACCTGGGATAGAAACTGGGAGTCCATCTCCAAAATCCCCAGCAAAAACCTAGACTGGGGGCATAGTTCAAGTGCTAGAGTGAAATCAATCAACCGAGCCAAGTAAGCAAAGCATGTGCAAGACCCTTGAGTTCAACTCCATTAGTGGTCCCTAAAAGAGGTGTGGGTCAGGGAGGAATGCTCCAAATGAGCAAAGCTCATGAAAGTCAGTCAGGATTGGTTCACACTGTAGTGTGACTTGAATCGGTTCCAGAAATGCCAGGCTGACCACTGTGCTTCTGAGCCAGAACAGTGGGGCACCTGTCCAATGACTAGAAGATGGTTCAAGGTGAGGTCAATGTCAAAGCTGGTAGGATGCTTTCACTCTACCACCTCCCTCATCAATGGCATAGAATAAAACCTAGGTCACGTGATGGGTGTCCTCGTGGCTTCCTAAAAAGCTCCTACCTCAGTGTCCCAAGCTGTCCCCTTTCAGACATTCATTCTAACAAAAGAAATATAAATGATAGCCATGCCTTTTGAGGTTTTTGGTCTTTTTGGTGTGGAGCTCTAACTTGGGACTTGGGCGTTGACCCTGAGCTTGTTCACTCCAGGCTAGCACTCTACCATTTCCAGCCACAGCTCCACTTCCGGTTTTCTGGTGGTTAGTTGGAAATAAGAGTCTCATAGACTTTTCCAGGCTGCCTTTGAGCTGCAATCCTCAGATCTCAGCCTCTTGAGTAGCTAGGATTACAGGCATGAGCCACCAGTGATGGCTTTAGCCATAACTTTTAAAAGCAGGGAGCTGAGAGTTTTATAGGCAATATGGTACTTCCAAACTAACTGGCAGGGCCTAACTAATAGGATTCCATGTTATAGGTGAAGAAACTGAGGCCTAGAGAAGTTAATGGCGTTGATGCCACACAGCAAATATATAAAAAGGCAGACAATTCTACCCAGGCTTCAGAAGCCCCTGTTTTTAGCCACGACCCTGTGTCTCCTTCATATGACTTGAAAGGGACTCTTGTTTTTCCTAGTGGAGAGCTAAAAGGCTTGGCCAAAAGCTGAGTAACAGCGTTCAACAGGAAGACAGGCCCTGTTGCCCACTGGCCTGCCCAGTGTCCAGTGCCACATCACCAGAGCCAGGCCAAGGAACGCTATCCCCAGACACACTGACTGACCAGTCCCCACTGCGTGCTGCTCATGATGGGCAGGAGACCCTTACCATTCTGGGGAAGGATGAACAGCTCCTCTGTGACCCGCTTCTTGAGACGGCTGTCACTGGGGGCCTGGGAGCTGGTGGGCGCAGTAGCCTCCTGGGTGGTCCCCAGTTTGTAGTCCGCATAGTTGATCACTTCTGGAGCCGTCACAGCCGGCCTGGGGCCGTAGATGTCTGGGAACTTGAGAAGGGCTCGGGGCTGGACAGGCTCCGTGGATTTCTTAATGTTGACCTGCAGATACAAATCAGGCTCGTTAGCAGGGGACTTCCTGCCTGGCAGTCACCCACCATTTGCATGCATGAGTCCCTCAAGCATCCATCGCTTTCCCCATCCTTTTGTCTGTCCCTCTGTCTATCCATGGCAATGCCAGTGATGGCCTATTGTAGTTTATTTTGGGAGGGTAGAGTGGGGAGTCCTCCTCTGACCCCTTTCCTCTTCAGAAGCAAAGTTAAACACAGCCCATGTTTTCTTTCTCACTGGCTTGGAGTCACCCTGTCTGCCACTTGTTGGAACAACAACTGAGGACAATTCAGGAGCTTTGGGCATTTGTGTGTGTTTATATTTGGCTTTATTTCAACACAGTCAGTTTTAGAGGAGGGCTGGGTTTAGTTCCCAATTTGGTCTGGTTTGACTGATTTGGGTTTATTTTTCTTTTCACTGTTTTCTTTTGATTTTTGTTTCTTTATTTTCCCTGAGACAGGGTCTTGCCTTGTGGCCTAGACTAGCCTGAATCTCTACATCCTCCTGTCTCTGCCTACTGAATGTGGGGATTACTGTCATGTAGCACCACACCTTACTCTGATTTTATGTTTTCAATGTGAAAATCATTGCCAGCTCAATTCTTTTGTGTGTGTGTGTGTGTGTTTCTGTGTGTATGCCAAACCTGGGGCTTGAACCCAAGGCCTGGGCACTGTTACTGAGCTTTTTTGTTTAAAGCTCGTGTTCTACCATTGAGCCGCAGCACCCTTCCAGTTTTCTGGTGGTTAATTCGAGATGAGAGTCTCACAGACTTTTCTGCCAGGGCTGGTTTCCAATTGTGATCCTCAGATCTCAGCTTCCTGAGTAGCTAAGATTATAGCAGTGAACCCTATTCATGCCCGGCTCCTGGTATGAATTTTGTTTGGTCTGATCTTACTAGCTCTCAGCAGTATCTTAATGGCTTTTTGTAGCTCTGGAGTGGTACCTGTCCTGGTACAGATAGTTGTAGTTCCCCTCCCCATTTCCTCCCCCCAACATCCTAGGCAGGAAGCTTGTGGCCCTGTTTATGACTGCAAGATGAGTCACTGTGGAAGTCAACATAACACCGGGCAGAGGAGAGAGACAGAGAGCCTCCATCCCTGATGCTAATATCCGCAAGCCTCTAAGTCCACCACCTGCTGTCTGGCTACGTCTACCCTGAAGGCCAGAGGAACAGTGTTCGTGTTTTTTTGTTAGTCATGGGGATTTAACTCAGAGCCTGGGCGCTGTCCCTGAGCTCTTTTGCTCAAAGCTAGTGCTCTATCACTTTGAACTACAGCATCACTTTCTGTTTCCTGGGCATTAATTGGAGATAAGAATCTCACAGCTTTTCCTGCTCTGGCTGGCTTTGAACCTAATGTTCTTCAGCTCTGTCCCCTGAGTAGGTAGGATTACGTGAGCCACCAGTGTGAGGCAGTGTTCTATTGAAACCAGCCCAGGCAGAAAGGTCTGAAAGAACCTGACCTCCTATTAGCCAGCCAAAAGCCAGACTGGAGGTGTGGTTCAAGTACCATCTTAGAACAGCCTTCTGAGTAGCTAGGGATGACAGATGTGAGCCAACAGTGCCCAGCTCCTTTTTTTTTTTTAAAGATGTGGTAAAATGCACAGAACATAAAATTCTCCATCTTAACCCTGTATAATGTACCATTATAAATGTAACCCATTCCTAATGTACCAAGGTCTCCCTCTGTCTCTACTTAGCTCTTCCTATTGCCAGCTCCTGGACCCATCTTTCTACCTTTTGTCTTTGGGATTTTCACTGTTCAGAGTCTCTCCTATAGGCAGAATCTGATAGGACTAGCTTCATTCAGTAAGCATAATATAATTCTGTCTTGTCTATGTTGCAGCAGGTCAGAATTTCTTACTGTTTTATTTTTAATCATGTTTTTATGATCTTTAAGTAGTTGTACAAAGGGGTTACCATTCAACATGTCAGTTTATGACTAATGAATCTTGATCAGTATCACATCTTTCATCATTCTCCCACACTTTGTTTGTTTTTGCTAATTCCAGGCCTTGAGTTTGCTCAGCTTGCTTATTCTAAGATGGTACTCTATCACTCAAACCACACCTCCAGTCTAGCTTCTGGCTGGCTAATCGGAGATCAGATTCTTTCAGACTTTTCTGCCTGGGCTGGTTTCAAATTTTGATCCTCAGAAATCTCATCATTCTTAGTAGCTAGGATTATAGGCATGAGTCACCGAGAAAAGAAGAGAGAAAAAAAATCTCAGTATCCCTGAGAGGATAATTTAACTCCAGTGAGCAGGAAGACAGTCACAAGAATCTTCTCCCTCCTCTTGCTCTTTCCGAGGGGATCTTGGATGGAGAAGACACCTGGAGACCCAGCTGCCACTCGGGAGGCCAAGCACTGGTGGCTCACCCCTGCTTGCCCTCCCCCGTCCTCACCTCAGCCCACCTCCTGCTCCTTAAGGAGGCGGCATCCAGCTTCCCCCCCGGAAGCCAGCAAGACAGATGGCACCAGGCAGGACAGGTGGCCCCTGCTTCCACCTAATGACAGCGTGCTACCTCGGGCCTGGTACAACAGAGCGTCAGGAACACAGGCTTGAAGTGGGCAGGTTTCCCCCCTGATGGGTGATGTCAGGGAAGCAGAATTAATTGTGTAGCTAATGATCTGTACACAAACTCCAAGCCCAACCAAGGACGCCAGGCAACCTTTCTGTGATATGATTCACTTTCCACCAAAAGGCTGTTTGTTGACACTGGGACATACCACTGAAAATGATGATGAGCCTGTCACTCAGGCTCTGTGCACACTTAAGGTACAGAGTCTGTTTGAAATACAGCCAGCTGGTCAGTCTGTCTCTAAAATGAGACAGCTTGGTTATAACCAGGCACATTCATCCAGTTACTTGCTGTGTGGTCTTGAGTCTGCTTACTTACTTACCCTCTCTGAGCCCAGTTCTTTCATCTGGAAATGGGGAGGCTAACGATTGCACCTCTCTCCTAAGCTCGGTTGAGTGACCCATGTTGAGTTCTTGGCATAGAGGCTGGCTGGCCAAAATTCCAAAAGTGTTGACAAGAATTGTCAGACATTGATCCGAGAGTGGTGGCCCATGCCTGTAATCCTAACTATTTAGGAAACTGAGATCTGAGGATCATGGTTCAAAGCCAGCCCTGGCAAGAAAGTCTGTGAGACTCTTATTTCTAATTAATCAGCAAAAGGCCAGAAGCAGAACTGTGGCTCAAGCGATAGAGAGCTAGCTTTGAGCAAAACTAAAACAAAACGAAACAAGTGACAGCATAAATCCTCGAGTTCAATCCCTAGTAGCGAGAGAGAGAGAGAGAGAGAGAGAGAGAGAGAGAGAGAAACAGTGCAAAAGATGGCAGAGGTGTGGCTTAAAGCATTGAGCACCTGCCCAGCAAGCATGAGGCCCTGAGTTGAATCCCTAATAGTGCCAATAAATAACCAAATAAAAGTGAAAGCCATTTCACGCTGGGTCCTTGCCGGAGTCATTGAGGGGCTGGTGCATTGGGATGCAGTCTTCTGCTCATTGTCCTCCTCAGTGCACAGAGCAGCAAACCCCAGGCCCAGGCCCCTCTCCACCGGTTCCCCAGACTGCACCTCATTAACGTGGGGGATGAACCACTCATGTCTCCCAGCTGAGCCAGGGGCCCGGCACATGTAGGGAGCTCCTGTGTTGCCCTTGTGCCTCCCTTGGGCCATTCTGGACTAGGAGTCAGGTCCCGGTAGAGGCAGAAATGTATGCCTGGGGTGGGGGGAGGGAAGCTGCTTCCAGGCAGTCTTCTCCCTGTCCCCTCTAGTTGGTGTCCCTTTGATTCCTCCATAAATATTTATTGGTGTGGCAGAGCTCTACCTCCCAAAGAACAGCCAGTGCTCAGACCCTCAGCGCCTGAGGTGAGGCTGGGTAAATCCACTTTGGAGCAGTAGCTTGTCTTCTGGTCCAGTAGCTCATCTTCCTAGCAGTGTTTCCATGGCGACCCCATCACTACCTCTTCTGTGAATTCCAAGCCTGTCTTCCATCCCTTCCCTGGGGACTCACCGCTTTCTCTTTTTCTCCCCTCTGTGGTTAGGTTGGAATCTTAAGAGGTTCATTTGTGGTAGACCCAGGACCTCACCCCATCCCCACCCCCGCCCTCATCTCCAGTTCCCCCCCCCTTACCCCATCAGGGAGCAGACTAGGAGACTTGGTGTCAGGTCCACAGCTGTCCGCCCAGTGAAGGAGCCTCTGCCATCCCAGTAAGACTGGACACCACGGGAGTGACAGCCCCAGGGCGAACCCTTCTCTGCTGGAGTCATTCAGCCATTCATTCATCGTTTATTACATCTCTAGGCACTAGTCAGCCACAGGAATGTCACTATCTAATTGTTGTCCTTTCTGGTGGACATTTGCAGTACACAGAGCACAAAATCAGCACAGCCCCAAAAGGCTGCTTCGGGTGGGAATAAAATAAGCGTTATTACAACCAGGCCAGGTGGCCCAGGATACGAGGGAGGGAAGTCCACGAAGCTGAAAATTTAAAAACCAACCAAAATGATCATGTCCAGCATTCACCACATGTCACACACAGCAGGGCAGTACCATGGTTATCCTTGCTTTACAGAAGAAGATACTGAGGCACAGAAGGCTTTAGTGCAAAGTCCTATGGTTAAGATATCGAGCTGGGATTGGGAGCCCTTGGATGCTGGTGCCCTAGATAAGACCAAACGACCAAAGAGTCGGTGGTCTGGCAGCTGCCTAAAGGCAGGGAAAATGTAAAGTGAAGCCAGCCTGGGTGAGGGGGGCTAGGCTTCACCTCCATCCTTCTAGCCTGGCTATTCAACCCATATTAAGGACCTTCACCATGACAGAAGCATTGCAGACACTGGTCACTGTCCGCACTGTGCATATGGGAGGGGAGGGGCACAGCAGGGTAGTATTATAATAAGTTGACCAATAAAAAGCCAACGATCAAGATGCACTTAGTGTAGGCCATGCACATTATCCAGGGAAGAAGGAGGGGGAGACAGA